CTCTGAATAACAAATCAACCAAAAGGAGAGACATTAGTGAGGTCAGATAAAGGAGAGAACATTCACTCCTCTGCCCTTAGAAGAATCTTCTGAAATTTACTCTCAGGAAAATACAGTCCAAGGTGATCTTCTAAAATACGACTTCCCTACAGAATACTCAAGACTTTAATTCCTCTTTGAAACTGATCTTTATCTCAGTTCTTCTTACTTTAAATCACTGGATAATACTGGGCAAGATTTCAAGGGCAACCCTGATGAATGGGAAATGGAGTCTGCCTATTTTAGCTTTTAGCAAGAAATCTTACCGTTACATATTCACTCATAATGAAGGAGAAACCAATTCTGAACATCTTGACACAGGAGTACAGTGGGTTTTTAGGGTGGCTGCTTTTGTACGCAGTGATAGGATAACTGGTTAATGAAATAATTAAATTATACATAAACCAATTACTCCACAGGGAGAGGGGGAAAAAACAAAAAACAAACACATTTCTTTCTGAAACCTCGGAGGGTTACCAGGATTGGAAGAAAGCCAGCACCGGCAATAACTCCACCTACTGAAACAAACAGCCCTCAAATCAACCTTTTCCTAAATAAGAACATCCTTAATAACACTCAGGGAAAATCTTGCTCAGGGCTAATAATTCAACCTCCTCATCCCTAACTGTTTTGTCTGATCTACCTTGGCTCCTTCAATGAGTCTAACCACCCAGCACAGTATCCTACCAAGAAAGCTGGACCCCCAGAATGAGCCCACTGTCTTCCTGATCTGGAAGCTCTTCTGTTTCAACTCATTCTTATCATCTCTTTTCCTGGCTCTCAGAACCCTAGTGTCCTAGGTCTGCCTGTGGTCATCTTCCTTCATCTACTGCCTTGGCTATGCTTTTTTCCAGCTGTGACCTTGGTGCTCTCCTTGGGACAGGATCTGTGGCACCGGACCCTCCCACTGTCTACCCTGACCTCTACCAGACTCCTGCAAGCTGGCAAGTCCTCCGTCAAGCCCTCTGCCAGGGAAGGGACTGGACAGCCTTAAAACAGTCCGCAAATCACCACAGTAAGTCTACAAATCGAAAACCATCTGAGTTCACGGCAACACGCACACAACAATCGATAGAGGAGCAGAAGCATGACTCTATTAACCTTCGATTTGAAGGCAAAACTTCTACAGGAACTAATCTTTTCAGTGCACTAGACTCAGGCTACAAAACGAAGAGGCAGCAGAAACAGAAAAGACCAGCCAGGCTAGACCTTTGGAACGTTAAGGCGTCTTCCACAGAGAGGGCACAATGAATCACTTTTCTCGAGCAAGGAGATCTAAAATTAACCAATTTTATTTTTGACATTCCTCCTCCCAATGATTTAAACTTCTTTGATCTGAGAAGGTTTTGCAGCTTCATCACATACGATGTGAATCAAAGTAAAATTCCTAAACAGACCTCAAACTTACTTTCAAGTTCTGTAGGATGGACAATTCATTACATTTAAGAAAAAAGAAACTGCTTATAGAGATTCCTACAGCTCGAGTTGGAATTTCAAGGGGGAAAAGAAGTAATAAAATTATAGCAAAAATGAGTAGGAGATTTAACGTACATATGTGTGTACTTTGGTGTAACTGGCCTAACTCTCTGTAGTAATGTTCTGTCCTTTTGAAAGAATAATAATCAGACTCCATTATGGCCTCTTCTCTCAGGCTTAATGTGAAAGGTTTTGCTTTAATGGATCAATGACATAGAATTTCATGCTGTTTTTTCCCTAGAGTAAGTGCAATCAAAACTAAATGCGCAAAATGCATAAGAAAAGTCTGAGGTTATCTCTGGATATTGGTGTCATGGGTGCTTTGTATTTTCTTCTTTATGCGAATCTTCATATTACGACTTTTTTTTTTTTTTTACAACGAACATTTCTTAAATAAGTTTTCAAGGCATTACGTTATATAAGCATACAGTCATTTACTGAAGGTTTACAGTTCAGGGAAATAAACGAATGAACTTGACTCCATCCCATCATTTAATCCCCTGAAGTGCCCTATGACGTGGGTACCATTGCCAGGTTACAAGTGAGGAAAGCAAGGCTTAAAGGGGCTGAGAACTTGCCGAGGTCCACTCAGTAGTGAGCAGCAGGGCTGGGTGATGACTGAGATCTGTCGGTTCCCGGACCAGGACATGTCAGAGCCACCGTAAAGGCCAAGCTCAGTGAAGGGCGAGGATAAGAGAGCTGCTGAATGTGGAATCCACCAAAATGAATTCTATGCCCAACTCCACAAACAACTAGGGGGATAGCCTTAAACCATTTGACTTTCAAATTTTCTCATCTACAAAATGAAGGTGCTGGCTTGGGTGACCTCTTAATAATTCTATTAGCTTTAAGATCTGAAAAACATGGTTGGACATCATCCTGTCAGGCTAGTTGGTTACAGACCAAAAGGATACCATTGACTATACCTATTCACTTGATCCACTGATGATACACACATATATACATCCACACATATTTGTTGAACTGATGACATATGAAATGTAGTTACTCATTAAGGGGCATGCTTTTAAAAAAGACTACTTTACCCCACGCCACTCCCCTCCCTGGCCTACTCCCCTGTCTAAAGTTTTGAACAGGAAATGCACATGGTAAAGGATGTCCACACATGTGAGTGGTTCTGCTATCTGGGCTCATCGTCTCCATCAAACACCTGAGATGATGAATATTTGGGCCAAATTGCTTATTAGGAAAGGTTGTGCCTGTGGGGTGAGTAGAAGACGAAGAAAAGCGACAATATGCTAGGAGCCAAGCACTAGGAAAAGCGCTTTTACACACATCATGTCCTTGGGTCTCCACATAATCCTCTAGGCAAGGCCCATCCTGACAGATAAAGACAGAGGTGCAGGGCAGCCCCACAGCTGGGGATGGAAGTGCTGTCTGTCCTGCACAGGGCCGTACACTTAGCAGAGAAGCCAGACGTGTGGTTCCTGCAGTCCCACGAGCACAGTCCAGCCTTTGATATTAGAGTATGATTGCCTAGATCTTCTCTACAAAATCCTTCAGAAAGGGTTTACTCTGCTCCTACTGCAGGGCAGT